CATGCAGGGCCATTCTCGTGATTCTTACACCAAACTTCATTCCTAAAGAAAATTGTCTGTCCCACTTAGGAGAGTCTTGTGTTTGGCATTGGCGTTCCTGATGCCAAAACGCCCTCCCTCCCCCTTACCCATGTCCGGGAAGATCAGATTTAACCTGGTGCGGAGTCTTCTTCCCAACAGCAACTCTGCTGGAGCTATCCCTTTAGTTGCAATGCAGGGTGGTCCTATAATCAAATAGGAACTAGAGCAGTTTGGTATCTAGTGGAGCTGTAGGCTGTTTGTTTAAGCCTGCTTTCTGCCGCACCATTGGATGATGGATGGTATTGAGCTGTCCTTCAGCTGCCCACTGCTGATTTTGGTCTGAACCTAAGGGTGGCACTGCCTTGTCCTCTTTAAGTAGACTGAGCAGGGTTTTGAGGTCTATTATTATTACAGATTTACATCCATAAAGGTATTGGTGGAACTTCCTGACTCCAAAAATGACCGCTGAATCTTCCTTCTCTATCCGGACGTATTTACGCTCTGCATTAACCAAAGTCCTTGATGCATATACTAGTGGGCATTCCTTTCCTAATACTACCTTGATGCTGTATGGGAAGGTATCGCATATCAATACCAGATCTTGCTTGGGAAGCTTAGTGCCAACAGCTTAAAAGATGATAGCTGTTTCTTCACTTCCCTGAAAGCTATGGCTTGGCCATGCAACCATTTCCAAGGCTGACTGTTTTTTAAGAGTTGATGCAAAGGTGCCAGGTTATGTATGAGCATTCTGCAATAATTCGCCAGCCCAAGGAAAGACCTAAGTTCCAGTACTGACATGGGGGCCAGGGCACCATTGATCGCCCCCACTTTATCTTCCAAATGGGTATAATCCAGTCTTGTTGACTCTGTAGCCCAAGTAGGTCATTTGGGGTGTCTATAACACCTGTTTTTCCCTTCTAAGATGTATGCCCATTTGGGAGAAATATCTAAGGACTATGTCCAAGTTCTCTAAGTGCTCCTTGTTGGTCTTCCCTTTATTAGCTTGTCACCTAGATAAATGGCGGCCTGAAGTAGACCTTGTAAAATGTTCTCTATCATCTGCTGAAAAATTGCACAGGCTAATGATACCCCAAAAGGCAGTCTTGTGTATTAGTACAAACTTGTATGGGTATTAATTGTAGCATAACTCTGGGATTCCTCATCTAACCGCAATTGCAAGTACGCATGGCTCATGTCCGCATGGCTCACAAACGACAACCCCCTGCCAGTTTTGCATATAAATCCTCTATGCGAGGGTTTGGGTAGTTATCCAGCTGCAACAAGTGGTTTACTGTTTGTTTAAAATTCCCACAAAGGCGAACCGACCCGTTGAGCTTCACAGTCGGTATGACTGATGCTGATCATTCCACAAACTGGATTGGTTTGATGTTTCCAGCCTTTGATTCCTGCCTCTCCTTTTGCCCATAAGGCAAATGGTGCTGGGCGGGCCTTGAAGAATCCTGGAATTGTTTCCTGGTCAATATGCAAGGTGGCTTTGCCTCTTTTGATTGTTCCTGAATCTTCCTAAAAAAACGTCTAGGTATTTCATTAGGGCTTCACTCAGGCAGCCATCTAAAATCAAGAAAATGTTCAGCCAATCTAGCTGAATCTTTCCAAACCAATTTCTCCCCATCTGGCATGGAACCGAGCCTTTTACTACAGTCAATGATAACTGAACCAGCTGTTACTCACGAGAGACTGGAACCGAAGTTGTGCCCTTAATCTGTAAAGGTTCCCCGGTATAGGATCTCAGTCTAGCCGAGGTCTTGTGCAAACTTAAGGGTTGGAGTCCAGTGAGAATTTTGTTATAGACTGGTTCTGTGATCACTGAAGCAGCCGCACCAGTATCAACCTCCATTAGAACCGGGTGTTCTTTTAGCCAGACATTTATTTTGATTGGTTCTGATTTGGATGTTGCTAAGCAATTTAACTGTTCCAAGCCAGATGTAGGTGGGCTTTCCAGGGTGTGCACTTTCCTGGATACTGGTCTATGAGTTCCCTTAATCAATTCAGGCCTAGTGGGATTCTTTGCTGTCTTGAGTCCGTATACTAGAAACAATTAAAATGGCTTGCCAGCCCAGATCCTGATGGAAATTTTAACCATTTGGCCAAGGCTTGGTTTTGTTTTTGGGCTCTTGCTGTGGCCTGACCTAGAGTCCCTCTGTTCAGGATATGTCCTGAGTGAGGCTATGCAATCGCCTTCACTCAAATGGTGTTCCCCAAGCTCAGTCAGACTGGTGAGGGCATCCACTTCCAATGAAATACCCTGCTATATGCTCCATATGCTCCACGTTCCACATTTTCCAGTGATAAAGCCAGTTGTAGTGCCTGTTTGAAGAACATAAGAACGTAAGAACCAGGCCATCTGGCCTTTGGATTCTGCTCTCCCATTCAATAAGAACATGGCTGATCTTTTTGTGGCCTCAGCTCCACTCACCCACCCTCTCACCATAACCCTTAATTCCTTTACTGTTCAAAAAAATTATCTATCTTAGCTTTAAAAACATTCAATGAGGAAATCTCAACTACTTCACTGGGCAGGGAATTCCACAGATTCACAACCCTTTGGGTGAAGAAATTCCTCCTCAATTGAGTCCTAAATCTGTTCCCCCTAACTTTTTAAACCCCCTAACTCCCCCATGTCCTCTTGTTCTAGTTTCACCTGCCAGTGGAAACAACCTCCCTGCTTCTATCCTATCTATTCCCTTTATAATTTTATATGTTTCTATAAGATTCCCCCTCATTCTTCTAAATTCCAGTGAATATAATCCCAATCTACTCAGTCTCTCCTCATAAACCAATCCTCTCAACTCTGGAATCAACCCAGTGAATCTCCTCTGCACCCCCTCCAGTGCAAGTACATCCTTTCTCAAGTAAGGAGACCAAAACTACACGCAGTACTCAAGGTGTGGCCTCACCAGCATCCTATTCAGCTGTAACATAGCCTCACTGCTTTTAAACTCAATTCCTCCAGCAGTATAAGACAAAGTTCCATTTGCCTTCTTAATTACCTGTTGCACCTGCAAAGCAACCTTCTGTGATTCATGCACAAGGACACCCAGGTCCCTCTGCACATTTTTTACTGTTCAAATGATAGTCCTTTTTACTATTATTCTTACCAAAATGGTTGACTTCACATTTATCAACATTGTATTCCATCTGACAGACCTTTGCCCACTCACATGAAACCATCTATATCCCTCTGCAAACTTTCAGAGTCCTCTACACACTTTGCTCTACCACTCATCTTCGTTCATCCGCCAACTTTGACATACTCCAAATCATCTATGTAAATTGTTAACAATTGCAGTCTCAACATTGATCCCTGAGGAACACGACTAGTCACTGATCGACAACTAAAAAAACACTCATTTATCCCCACTCTTTACTTCCTGTTAGTTAACCAATCCTCTATCCATGCTAATACATTGCCTGGGCTTCAGCTAGTAGGTGCTTTTGTATGGTTACATCATTAATCCTACATATGAAACAGTCTCTCAGCATCTCATTAAGGGTTAAACCAAAGTCAAATGCGTCTGCTAGTCATCTTGATCTAGTCAAAAATGTTGAGACAGACACCCCTGGATCTTGAATTGCCCAGTAAAACCAATAACACCTCGGAATTAGAGGAGGCTTGAGATCAGAATATTCCTTAACTAAATCTGTCAACTCTTGAAAGGTTTTCTTATCTGGTGCCTCAGGGAAAGTTAGGCTCCTAATAACCAAAAAAGCTGTGGGTCCACAAGCTGTCAGGAGAATTACTTGTTGCTTTTCATCTGCCCCAATGTCATTTGCCCAGAAAAAATAACGCATTCTTTCCAGATAATGGGCCAGTCTTTGACAGCAGCATCAAATGAGTCAGGCTTCCCAAATAATGGCTTAATGCCAGAAATGCTTACCCAACTCAGAGACATTAGTTGCAAGCAAATTTCTTCATGAGCATGCATTTCTCTTATTGCCACTGAACTAACTCCACAGAGACCAGTATCCTGTCATCAAGTCACCCTATATTTACAAGTGGAGAGTCTTTGACACTGATCCAGCTTCCTCAGAGCCAGGTCTCAGAGTGAACAGAACCTGTGATAGTCCTGTTTGATTCTGTCAGCCAGAGCTCCATGATTGGACCAGATTTACAGCCCCAACCAGGGAATTCATATTCTATGCAGTCCATTTGACTTACTTCATTACAATCACTAAAAGGACAAGTGCAAGAATACCAAATTTCAAAGGATGTGCATTCTTCACTGCACGTCCCAAACAATTAGCATTCATTTTTCATGCAAACACTTCTTTTGAAATCTGGTATTCTTGTGCCTGTTCTAATGAGCGCAAGATGAAAAACTTTGTGCTATACTGAAGTTCTGTCCTATCAATTGATGATTTAAATTAAGGTATCCAATATATTTCATTCATCTAAACTATTAAATGCAATGAGAGAAAAATGTTAAAAGCTGTAGCACCTTCTACAGTGGGCATTTCAACGGCCCCAAAACCATATGCCATTTGAGTTTATTAATCAGTTAGCAGTATGCAATAAACTATTTGTGCTGATCATAAATCTATATTGTATAATACAAACAGTCATAGTTCAATTGATTGTGTTCCAGGCCCAAGAGTCCTGAGTTTGTATCCTGGCATGGTTTGTTTAGCTCTTCATCCTTCTGAAATGGATAAAATGTGAATTCTGTCAGTGGAGACTATATAAGAAACATGTACTGTGCTCAACACACTGCTACAAGTACTGGGTACTCATGTTTTCAGAAATAGACTGAAAGATCAACATTTATCCATACTAAAATCTGGAGGCATTGAGATACATATGTTTCTTTTCCTCACTTTCTCTCCTCGTCTCTTTATTTCTAAATCGTAAGAAAGAAGATTCCTTATATATGCATTAGACCAGATATATTCAGTTTATTTACAAATAACAGTTGTGCTCTGTCCGATTGCCACGCAGTTTGAAATCTTTATTTCCGTACCTGGGCAAGGCATGATATTACACTCCTGATATTCCAATGATTGTCCTAAACAGGGAAGCCCTCCATTTCTTGGCGCTGGATTATTGCACATTCGCCTTCGACTCCGAATTCCCCTGCTGCAGTCTCTGCTACACTGTGTCCATGGTAGCCAGGCAGACCAAGCACCATTGACTGAGTAAGCAGAAGGTCTCCCATACCGTAAGATACTTCCAGAAAACCCTGTTGGAAACAAGGGGGTAATGTCTAAATGCTAAATTCAGAAATTCTAAATTCAAATAAAAACTGCTTTGCTATGGGTAAAAACAAAACTAATGGTGAAGCTAACACTTTGTTCAGTCAATGAAACATTTTCTACTCATCAGGCAAAGTTTCTAAAAATAATAAATTCCCAACTATAGGATGGTATGTTCTTTCCAGGTTTAGAACATTTTAGCCAGAGGTCAAATTTAACTAAATACTGTTTGAGGAAAATCACTTCCTCATTTAAGATCCATTTAAGATCTATGAAGATGGATTACTAATGGAAATTGTTTTAAGAAATTGACATTTCTCTGGACACCTTCCTTTAGTGAATATACAAGATCGAACACTAATAGCAGTTTAATATTATCACAAATGTTAAGTATGGCTTTACTTTATAGTTTAACAAGATATTGTTACTTTAAAGAAGACTCTAGTTCCCACCCTCAAAGATACAAAATATTTCAACAGTAACATTTGATCAGCTAGCACAAGCTGGATTCTATAACCAACAATTTTTCTATAAACAAAGTATCTTTTTAATACACATATAGTCAACAGTTTCTCCTAGTCTTTAAACAATTTTAAATGAGTAAATGGACAATCAAATTTAAGTCAACAAAAAAAATCACCACCTTTATAACAGCAATGGTTCTACATAAGAATGCAGTATTTGGGGGGAACCTCTTAAAGAAAATACTGTTTTAACTAGCGTTTTCAGACAACTATTGAAATTAATAAATGTTATCAGCATGTCAAGCTCAAGCTTTATCCATTGATACTGTCCACCATCATTTCTGGGCTACCCGGCTCTAAATATTTCCTTAGGTTAGTTACAGTATCATGTCCAAACATTACAGAATAATTATTTTGAAAAAGTCTGTGATCTTGCAAACAAACTTATCCATCCTAGTATTGCTGATCTTTTTTTTTCATTTTGGAGAACCAAAATATTTCCAAAACCCAAAATTTTGTTTGTCCTCACCACCACTTGCAGAGCAGCCAGTTGATCCATCGCTAGAACAGTAACGCATTTCTATTCTTTGACGGCCGACATCCAGGAAGTTTGGGTCAGCCAGGCGTGCCTTGCATGTGTATCTAAATCTCTGCTCATAATGACCTCCATTGTCCGAGATATTAACAGGTGTCCAAGGGGTCCAAGGAGTGGTCTTCTTGAGTTCAGGGCACAGGTTAGTATTACAAAGTTGGTATTCCTGTACAATCATTTAAAAAGGAATGAGAAAAGGAACTTGAACATTATCACAATAAGAGTAACATACTCTGTTTCTAGAACCAACTGTGGGTAAAGCATCAATGTTGATTTTACTTCAGACTTGTTTGTGCGATTGGGTATGTTAGGCAACTTTCTCAGGTTGGCAGATCCCATTGCTCTTAGAAAAGGAGAAGAAAATAAGAACACTGCAGAAGTTACTGAATTTTCATAATAAAAAAAAGACACGCAAACGACTTGTTATCTTTGGCCAAGTTTCCATATTCAAGCAAAGAACAATTAGAGAAAATGGATTTGATTGGAATTGTTACAGGGAAGGGCATCCTACAATGGCAACTTAAAGCAAATGCAACACCTAGGAAAATCAAACGACCTAATCATGCTGCACTGTAGTACTTTAGTAGTTACTGACATGAATTCCTGTCACCAAACCCCACAAAACTATTGCCAAGGCTGATTTAACCAACCTCAAGCAACTACAAATTAGAATCTAAAACGAACAACAAATTATAACTTTAGACATCTGGAAACATAATCATAATCTTGTTTTCTAACATACCTGAAAATTTAACACAATATACACTCTCACATATCTAATAACAAGTGATATAAATTAAACAGAAATTCTAACTGCAAAGACCTGACAATGAGTTTTCATGAAGTTAAATACTGTTCATACTGTTAATCTCTGCAAAACATAGATAACAACCCACAGTAGACAAATTGGAGCATTTTTAGGTTGCTTATCCTCTAAAGAAGACTTTATGTCACTCCCAATATGTTGCTGTCCCTGTTCTCTGCCCAATATAATTTGTGCGCCTCAAAATTAACTTGATTCTGTTGAATGGCATTTCACTTGGACAACAAAGGTCTATTCTACACAGCAGAGGATATGTGCCAGTAATTTCTGTGACTCTTTGTTGATACAGTATTTTTTCCCCTTAATAAGCATGAGGACTGATTATATTTCCTGAATATCTTTGCTCTGCAGTGCTTCTGAACATCTGCACAATGTTAAATCTGCTCTAACAGTGGTTTTTGTAGTACTGATCAGATGAAGCAACTACATTATTTTGAGCTAAATTAACTAAGGCAGATAGGAATTCAAGAATAGGGCTTGAGCACTCCTCTGTCCTGACATTATGGGATAAGTTTTATGGTAGACTGCAAGTATAAATTGAGCCCTGACCTCCAATCTCAAATATCGAAAGCCCTTGCATCACATGACATTTTACCTTAGGAGCATTAAATTGTAATATCGACTCAATTATCTTATAAGCTTTGGTCACTAAAGAAGGTCAGTCACTGGACTCTGGTGCTGAAAACAATCCATCGATGGTTGCCTTTCAACAGAAGAACTTAATGTGATAAAATTCTATATCTTACACAAATTTGTTCAGATGAAGGTTTAGCTAGGAGGTAGTATGTAAATCTTCTTGTTTGTGACAGCTAAACGGATCCTAAATAACCTCATACAAGTTTAAAAATATGCGAATATTGAGAAGCCATTTTAGTGATCAGAAACTCATAGGCTGGGGATGACAACGATATCAGAAACACCAAATGAAAAATATCCTCTACATTACTGGAAACTAACAACCAATCATTCAGCATTTATAAAGAGGAGACTGGTTAATGTTTTGGGTAAAGACTTCACCAGATGACAGGTTACAGTGTATAAGTATTATTTTTCTCTCCGCACAGATATAGTACTTCTTTTGTTTTTAAATTTATAAATAAAACCTTGCAGGTATCCTAGGCATTGTAATGGTCAATATGGTCTCTTGCTATAAATCTGCAGCCACACCTGCCCAACAGAAGAGCTGTCAGTCAAAGGTTGATCAATGTTAGGGATCCGTGATAACTTTGCTTATGATAGTCTATCTTTATGACATTGATTTCCAACAGCAAGAACAATGATGGTCAGGGAAGAAACATCTATACACTCTCTTCTTTTGCATTTTGTGTACCTGCATCTTCCTTATCGAATTTTGATGATGTAGCAGCACTAATTAATGGCAAATACTGTGAAGAGGTGTTGCAAAAATAGCCCACTAAAACTGTCCTCCGAAGAACTTGGCCGTAAATTACTACGCAATTATTTTGATGAAAATTTTCAGGATGGTTAAAGAATTAGAATGCTTCCAAATGGATCGGGTTTTTGAGTTAGATAGATTGAAAACAAAGGACTTGCTCAGATATCAGGTAACTTACGTTGAAGATACAAGACTCTTCCAATGCATCACCAACTCCACCACAAATGAGGAAATAATCTTCACTGCTTATACGTGAAATTGATGTTCACTGCCTGATTGAAAAACAGGCCCCGGACACTTTGACCTCTGGGTTCCTCAGCTGAGAGCAATAGTTTCTTGCCAGAGATACAGATTTGGGTCATACACATCCTTCCTACGGCCTCACCTAATGCTCATTGGTGCTTGATACATATTCTTCTGCTAAAGTCTCTTTCTCTCAATGTTTTTTTTCATCTCAGGTTCATTTGCACAGATGCTTGGGGTGGAAATTTGTCATAACACTTTCTACTATCAAGGAGAAGACAGATCAAGATTTTACTTCAGTCAGACGTCTTCACCCAATCCATGGTGAGAATGATATTCGGGTACAGCATATATAGCAATTTCTCTTTTTTCGGTCTGATCCTAACATCGTTGGCCTCAGGGTTATGAATACTCTCCAGTGGAAGAATGGAAGATAAGCCTGGTTGCAGTAGTCCATTTATTGATTTACAATGTGAAGATAAGGTGAGGACGAAGACAATTGTAGGCTCCAACATTCTTTATGACATAATAAAAACCAAAAGAACTGCGGATGCTGTAAATCAGGAACAAAAACAAAGTTGCTGGAAAAGCTCAGCAGGTCTGGCAGCATCTGTGGAGGAGAAAACAGAGCTCTGAGGAAGGGTCACCGGACCCGAAACGTTAACTTTGTTTTCTCCTCCACAGATGCTGCCAGACCTGCTGAGCTTTTCCAGCAACTTTGTTTTTGTTCCATTCTTTATGACATATTTATACGCGCGACTTCATTTACCACAAACAACTTCATATGATCGCTGAAATATTTCTGGCATTCTTTTGCATATGTGGGATCATAGCCTGTCCTAATTATTTTCCTCTTTGTCGCCCAAACAGTCTCTACTGAGGCCCGCTTTACAGGACTCCTTTATCTCTCCCAAAGGTATAGCTACTAAAATGTCCAAAAATTCTCAAGACACTTGTCCCAGCAGCATTCCTCATTGCTACTCTTTACTCTCTGACATTTAGGTGTTGTCTCTATCTCTCTTCCTCCTCCTGAAGACTTACCAAGATATGTACTTCTAGTGAAGCTTTTAAACAGTATTTCTTTCCTGGCCTGGACATGAAACCTGGCCTGCACCAAACAAATACTGCAATCACTCAGTGTCAGGTGGATGGAAAAAGTTCCACTCCCATCAGTCTTGACAGAAAAGGAACAGAAAGGTTTGTTCATTTCCTATGCAGTCACAATTGTTAAGTGGGAGTGAAGGAACAGGTGAAGTGTAATGACTGAGGGGGTAGTCAGGTGCCACTCCAGGTGTGGAGGAGTTAGCGGTCAGATTGGGAAGAGCACTCGGTGTTTGGACTTTCTGTTGGTGGTTGCAGGATTGGGACATACAGGGGTGAAAGGTCCTCTGATGGGAAGCAGACTGATTACAGGGCACAAAGAGAGCAAGGTGGTGGCTCATTGGGCCATGAAAAACATTCCTGCACCTTTTGTAAAAGCGTTTTATCTATATTCAGATCTTTCATCACTTTTAAGCTGTCAAGTTTCACATAGAAAATCTAGTCTCCTGTGGTTAAAAATAGAAATGGCTATTAAAATGAAGGTTGAGTTTGGTGATGGTGCAACTGGAAAAGACAAACTTCCTGAGATGTGACGCACTACCTCTGATGTCAAAGCCAATGATTGAAGATCTGATTATTAAAATACAGCAGATTCATATAACAGCTGAAGCAGTTTAATGAAATTCTCTCTAAATTGAAGTGTCATGTTAGCCCGAATAGAAACAACCTTCTGCTTACAAGGTTACACTTAGCTGTGCAATTATTTCCCAGACTGCAAACGTATTCACATGTGCTTACGCTATATAATTTCTTGCAAAGGCTGACTATGTGTGAAAAATAGCAAGACTGCCCTGCAGGCAGTAAGGTGTCACGAACACTGAACTTTGCAAGGCAATTATGTTTTAAAATGTATCTTTAACTCAAAGCAAAACAGAGTGACAGTTTTAAGACATTTCACAGTAGCTCACAGAAAAGGACAGCTGTGACTGAGACGCAGGAACAAACAAGCTACTGCTGTGGAAGAGCAAGAAGAATTGTTTTGTGTTAACAAGCAAGCCGGATGCTTTTCTGTTGAAAAGAAATTAAACTTAATACACAAGGCTCTTGAAGATTTATGAAATTGACAGTCATCAAGAATTTGCCTTGCTGCTGATAATCACATCAGGAAAACTCAGGAGGAATGGAAGGACAGTGGAAGTTCTGACCTTGGATGGCAAGGAGAAGTGAACTTTGCTGGTGACTCTGGGATTGCTTCTTTGACATGACATACCTGTCAGGAGCTTGAAATACAGTAAAGGATTCTGTGAGGCATATTTCAGTTGCATGAGTTAGTTAATGCGAACACGTCTTCTGTTGTTCGATGTATTAGTTGTCTGTTGAAGAGCGTTTGACCCTGTTCATTTTAGATTGTTGGCTGCAGTAAAAATTTCAAAAAAGAACTCTCAGTTCTTTTGTTCAGTCATTGGGAAATTCATCTCTATTTAAACGGTTACTGGTGTCTGCAGGGATGGTAACAGTATTTTTTTGGCACATGGATGTAATTGATAATCACCATTGCCAGACAGACTGCAGCTTGTAGTAGCTGGGAACACCGGGCAGTGAAGACCTAGAAGAGAGTGATGAGGGCCAGAAGAGGGGTATGAGGACCTGGCAGAGACTGATA